CTTAAAAAAAACAACAACCTCAACTTCATAAGCATAATATGGGTGAAAGCATGGTTAGACTGCAGTGCCTAAAAAAAAAAAAAGATCTTGAACAAGGCAAGTGTTTCAGATCCCTGGAACTTTCCAATTTTGTGAAATGGTGACATGGATAACAGCGAGGATATGTGGGGCTGGCAAGCAGGTTGAATCTGTTCTACAGTAAGACCTTGGGAGAAGAGAGGGGAAGCCCAGCTGCTGCCACTGAATCCTCAAAGATGCCTCACAAGAAAATCTCAGACTGTTGGGTGGATCCTCAAGGGGAATTTATGGAAAGTTATGGGTAGAAATCATGCAGGATGTGATGGCACAGAGAGGCTGTGATCTGCACCTGTGGGAGGAGTCGCTGAGATCTGTACTGTCCGAGGTCTGTTTGAGCACTTGGGAGAGATGAGAATGACTACCCAGGGGCTCATCTGCTTACTTTGCATAAATATTGCAAAACACCTTAAAGATTGTTTCTCTACAGTTCTAGCCGGCAAAAAAAGAAAAAATTAGATACCAAGCCATTCTGACTGAATCCACGCTGAGATGCCAGTCTATTCACATCTCTTAGAAAAAGGTTATTTATTTAAAAGGACTCTTAATGCTACCCTTCCTTCCTTATTCCCTCCTCCTCTAAAAAAATCTCCATGCTGAATGGTTCTAACAGAGACAATGGTCCCTATTCTTCTAACACCTTCATGGAGCCATGCGCCCTGACATTTCTTGCCTGCAGGAAAATGTCAACACTTTTCTTTGTATGCTTTTAATAAAAACAAGTGGTCTTTGGAGGAGTTTACTTTGTCAAAATCAAGCAGCCTGCTCAACTGAAAAAAAAAAACAAGCAAAAATAGAAGATTAGATTCCAGAGAAGGGTCATTTCATATGTATTAGATATTTCTGTAGTGATTTAAACCTTAAAATGTTTATAATATGCTGGCCTCCCATTTAGGCCATGAGGTGGGTGGTATAGGTATTGTTATAAACATTTGACATATAAAGAAACTGAGGATCAGAGAGGTTTAATGTGACACATGGATAAAAAGTTTCAGAAACAGGATTTGAACTTGGGCCCCTTGCTTCCAAGTTCAAAGCTCTTTTTTGTTGTTCAGTCATTTTATTCAGGTCTTTGTGACCCCCATTTGGGATTTTCTTGGCAAAGATGCTGGAGTGGTTTGCCACTTCCTTCTCCAGCTCATTTTACAGATGAGGAAACTGAAGCAAACATGGTTAAGTGACTTGTCCAGGGTCACACATCTACTAATTGTCTGAGGTTAGATTTGAACTCAAATAGAGGAGTCTTCCTGACTCTAAGCCCAGCTGTGCCACCTAGCTGCCCATCAGACCTCTTACAATAACAATAGTTAAATTTTCTACAAACTGCCTTCCATATATTATCTCATTTGATTGTAAAAAACAACCCTGTAAAATGTCATTGTAGAGATTAAAACTGAAAGAAAGGCTAAATGATTGTCTGGGAGTACATAGTGTCTGAGGTAGGATTTGAACTATGGCCTTCCTGATTCCAATGCAATCCTCTATCCACTAAGACATTTATCCACAATGTTTGTTTTTGTGGTGTTTTGTATAGAAGCCTCAGGCCAAGTGCTGGGTCAGCTACCCCAGGACTATTGGGCTGTGTGAAATTTTTGAGGAGCTCTTTTTTTTTCCTCAGTGTCCAAGGCCAACTTTATTTGCAGGCTACCTAGGCCCATTCTATGATGACACCCAATGATGTGTCTCACAAAACCTGGGAGAGCTCCATAGCTCTTTCCCTACACCTCAGCCCTCAGGCTCTACTTTCTGGAGGTGGCAATGGAAAGTGAAGGGTTAAGCACAGACATGAGTACACAGTTATGTCTACTCAATCTTTTCTAGTTCTACTTCTGCCTTGAGGCACATGAAATAAAACCATGCTAATGAAAACATGTTAATGTCCTGGTTAATAAGACGTGAAGTAGACACAGCTCTTCTAAATCTGGAGTCAGAAGATCTGGGCTAGAATCCCAGCCTTGCTCCATACTTCCTCCCTGTGGTGCCTAGAATGAGTCATCTCAACTGAGGGAAATGAGGGTATTTGGACTATAGAATTGTTAAGGTTTCTTCTGGCTCTTAGATTCTCTGATCCTACTTCTCTGCTTTCCCAAGGGGCATATGACTCCAGAAGGCTGCTGAAAAGTGATTGTAATAGCAATCATTCAAGAAAGCACGGCACTGGGAAGACATTTTGAGGAAACGGTATTAAAACAAAACAAAACAATGAAGTAGGAGTTGAGAGACTTGAATTATATTCCCAGTTCTACTACTTTCTATCTGTGTGAATTTGGTCAAGCCATTTCCCTTTTCTGGTCCTCAGTTTCCTTTTCTGTAAGTTAAGAACTTTGTTCTAAGTAATCTCCAAGGTCTTTTGTAACTCTGATATTTTGGTTCTCATCTCCACTCACACAGCCACCATCCATATATAGCCTCACCACATTTCACCCAAACTATCGAAACAGCTTTTTAAGTTTTTTTTAGATTCACGTTGCCTTCTCCCTTCCCCCAACTTCATCCCCCACAAAAAAGCAAGAAAAACAAAACCCCAGCTACAAATGTGTATAGTTAAGTAAAACAAATTCCCTCATTGGCCGTATCCAAAAAAATCAAAGGTTGTTGATTTTCCCTACTAGACATCTTTAAGAAGGAGCTGCTATCAAATCCGGCCTCAGACGTTACTAGCTGTGTGACCCCGGGCAAGTCACTTAACCCTGTTTGCCTCAGTTTCCTCATCTGCAAAATGAGTTGAAGAAGAAAATGGCAAACCAGTCCAGTATCTGCCAAGGAAACCCCAAATGGGGTTACAGAGCCCATTAGTGCTACAAATGCTTACCTTCCTGAAGAGTCTGACCAATATGGCAGATTCTTTAAATTTCACCCATCCCCAATTGATATTCTGATAAACCTTGTCATTGGCTGAAAGAAGGCTTGAATCAAATTCATTCAGGCAGGACCCGCGTGTAGTGATTTTGGGATCCCAGCACCCCTAAACCTCTACATCTCAATGAAACGTTGGGTAGGAATTCAGGGGTGGCATGAGGAACACCTATGGTTACTGTGCTCAAATAGTTGAAAGCTTTCCATTTAAAAAAGCTGCATCTGGTGGACATTGCAAGGAGGCACATTTTGATTGAATATACATTTAATTCAATAAACATTTATTAATCGCCTACTGTGTGCCAGGTACTATGCTGAATGCTGGGGGTACAAAGATAGTCCCTGCCTTTAAGGAATTTACCATGTAACAGGGGAAGATGATACACCAAAAGGAAGTGGATAAGGACTGGGGTTGGGGGAGCTGCCAGGGCTACATAACTTCTGTGGAATGGAAACAAAACGGAGCTGCCGATGGGCAATGGAGGGTTACTTGAAAAGTTCTGATGCTTTATAAGGAGGGTTTTAAGAGGAGTTCATTACTCCACCCTCTAGCCCTCCACTCAGAGTGGAGAGGCAACTGAGGGAACTGAGAAGGTGTTAAATATGAAATCTAAGTCAACCTGAGTGGTGATGAGATCTCTAGCAATCAGCTCGACCTACTAAAAAAGGCTTCTTAAGACTTTGAGTGATCACAAAGCAGAAAGCAATGTCTTCAGAGGTGGTTGATTTCTCCCTACTAGACATCTTCAAGAAGGAGCCCAATGATCCCTTATAAGCGATATTGTACAAGTCATTTCTACTAAGCTGAGAGACTCTAATGTTCCTTCTATGGGAATCTGTGACTCTCACAAAACAGGAATTATGATTATACACCAGCAGGCATCAAAAGAGAGCTTTGAAACTGGATTGTCATGCTGCATCAGTCTACCACAGGGGTTCTCAACCTTTCCTTGGATCATGGATTCCAATGGTTGTCTAGTAATGTATGGACCTCTCGTTAAAAAAAATAGCTTGTTCCTACACTCACAATGTAAGGAAATTCTCAATTTCAGTCAGAAGTTAGTAAGTAAGCATATAATATTTTTCCCTTTCAAGTCCCGAGAGGACTGTCGACCCCAGCTTAAGAATCCCCAGACTACCAGAATCTGGTTGACATGGTGGTACATCTTATGCTGGTCCATATTCCTATGTAACAGTATATAAGAGTGTGGAAAGATCACAGGCGCCAGAGTCAGAAGATATGGATTCCAATCTTGACTTTAATCATTTGTGTGACCATGGGAAAGTCATCTAACTTCTCTGGGCCTCAGTTCTTCATCTATAAAGTAAAGAGTTTCAACTAGACAAGCTAAGAGGTCCTTATCAACTCGGAATTTATGAAACTACAAAAATTATACAGGAAATTGTAGAACCAGAAAATCAGGGAAGAGAAAGGCCCTGCTTTTAAGCAATTAAATGTCTAATCTGGACAGATTTCATCCTGTTACTCCTTGAAGACCTCAAAGACAGGAACTTAGCAACTTCTCTTCATTCTGAGTTGCCTTATGAAATGCTTTCCAGGCCTATTGTGATATTAACGTATTTAAGTGAGGAGAGGCATAGGTGACATGTAGCCATAAAAGAATATTGCATCAGGGAAGACAAATCCTTATTTCACCAAGGCGACTGCTTCCCTTTCACAGGGTATTTTCCCTCACTCTTTGCTGACTCTGGCTTTGGACCAAGCTATAAACTTTTTTTCCTGCCTCTAAACTGGTCCTTTGGATTGGATTATCTTGTTAATTCTAACCTAACTTGACCTGACTTCCTGTTTAATATCTTCCATCGTGACTTGGGATCCCAGCCACCTTTCCTAGGAAAATTCCTTTCCTTGGGCTCAATTAACCATTTAGTGCATGAATTTGATAGTTGATTTTTAATTTTTCTAGAGTATTTGAAACATTTTATGCAGCAAAAGGAAATCATCTATCTAAAATAAATGAGCTTGTGTATATTCTTGAGATGACCTAGCAGTTTTTACTCAAAAATGTATTTTTCTCTCTTGAATTCAGTAAACCGATTTAACTTACCTGATTTCAGCAAATTTCTAGGCAGATGCCAGCAGTGATCCTATCACAAAGAAAAAGAAGAAGAAATAGGTTATACTCTTCTCTAGCTATGGGAGGAATTAATTTTCTTTTCTATTCCAGTCACATACATATGTTGTGAAAATGTGTGTATATATACATATATATGTGCATATATTGATGTATGTGCGTGTATACTACACATTTCTATGTGCATGCATAGTACATACACTTAAATGTATAATTATCTTCAATTTTATGTTTGTACAAATTTATTTCTAGAAACATTCCTTTCTACAAATTACAATTCCAATGCACTTCCAGACTTCAGTCACAAAACCTTAGTGAAAATTGAAGTTTTCTCCCATCCTCTCCCCTTTTCTTCCTTAGTCTCCCCTTTTTCTCCCTCCCGTCTTCCTCTCCTCATCCATGTGTATATATGTAACACACACCCATATATTACTTATCAGCTGCCAAATCCTACACATATATGCATGCAATATATATGTATTATGTTTACATGTGTGTATACATATATGCATACATATATTATATATCACACATGTATTCTCTATTGACATAGTACTCCAAGGTGATGCTTGGAGTCATAATATTGACTCCATCATAATATTGAAAGGAAAATTCTTCATTTGGGCTTTTATTCTGATTAGTGAGGCAAAAATCAGGACAAAAGAATTAAAAGTAAATATTAAAATAAAAAATTATTACAAGTAGATCAAGGTAACAACAGTCGACAGGCTGATTACCAAAGTTCAGCAATGCCTTTAAGGTGGGGACAGCTTTTATAAGTAACTTTAAGACAATTCAGATAGGATCACCTCAGCAGAAGAGATTGAGCCCTTGTATTTCAGTTACTCCCCAAAATAGCAAGAATGTGAAAATTTGCAGGTAGGGGCACGTGAAAAAAAAAAAAAAGCAGGTAATGAAAAAAGCTGCAGACTTGGTGTCTCCTTCCTCACCAGACCCTCCTCAATACAAATAGATAAGCTGGACTGGGAAAAAGGGATACTGAGTCAGCATAATTTTCAACAAGAGTATAGCTATGTCAGGGCTTACCAAGCAGGAAAGGTTTGGGGCAGATTCTCTGTCACCAGCTTTTCGTACATTACACAAAGTTAAGAGAGACTTGTCATCAGTGGTTCACAATTTGTTTCCATTTGGCCACAGTAACTCCTCCTGAGAATTTATTAAGGCTTCCAAAGCATATGGGAAGGGCTATTACTTGCATTCTCAGGGGCTGAGGGATGCCCACAGTGATAAAATCACAGATGCTTGAAGAATGGTTATATATGCATATAAGAGAAAGAGATGGCATCGTATTCCTTTAGGTGGATGTCTTGGAAACTAGGCTGTGTGACCTTGGAGAAGTTCCTTTCCTTTTCTGGGCTTCAGTTGTTTTATTTGTTTCCTTTGGACCTGAACTGTGATTTCACTGGGAACTCCGGTAAGGAAACTCCTTCCAAGAAAGCAGGTTAGCATGTGCTCTGTAATTTAAAGTTGTGGAGAATTGCCTGGATCCACTGAGGCATTACAGCGTTCCTCAGGGGATGTGTCCCAGGGGATTTGAAACCAGATCTTCCCATCCCACAGGTGAGCTCTCCTGCTTTTTACTGTGCTTCACTATTGCAGTTTATCCATCTATAAAACAGGGGGCTGGACCAGACCATTTCTGAGGCCTGTTCCTAGACTAATATTTGATGTTTTGTACGTTGTAAGGCTCCTTCTGCCTGTAATGACCTCGGATCCCAAGGAATGTCTCTGCATTCTGCTCTAGCATAATTCAGTTCACTAGAGTAAATGTGCTGATCTTGAGGGAAACCAACTGGGGGGCGGGGAGGGGAGGAATTCATCCTCTCTTTATTAAGTATTTCCCTAAAATGGAAAACCCTCTCCAAGACAATTGCAAACAAATGTCATGAATAATTCATTCTGCCTAATTTCACACTATTTCAGCTGCCTTTACTAGCTTCTAATTAGCTTGTACAAGTTATTTAAGGAACAGAAAATTGCTGCTTAAACTAAGGTAAAGGGAAACTGCCTTACTTTAAAACTAATAATAATAATAATTAATAATAATAATAATCTTTAAAAGCCTTTGTTAGCACCAGCTGTGCATGATAGGTGTCCCAGGGCTGCTGATTAAATGACAGAGCAAAAGCTTTTAGGGTGAGAAATGGAATTTAAGGCTATCAAAGTAGCCATTCTCTCTTAGGCCTGAGCTTCTATGAAAATCTGGCTGGAGAAGGAGGTTAAATCAATACTGACTTGTAATGAGCTGAAAAGGGGAAGGACAGAAATTCTAGGCACAGGGAACGTCATGAATGAAAGGGATTTAATTTTAGCCTGCTAGAGAGCTGAGGCAAGGCCTTCAAAGATCAAGTGAGGGAGAAACCATTTTATATTATTGCATACTTCCAAAAGAAGTGTGGCCTACGACTCTACCATACAGTGGACAGCGAGCCTCTGTTTCAAGACATCCAGAGACCTGGGGAAGACCTTAGCTTAAAAAGGCCAAGGCCTCCCACTGCATTTGGGGCCATCACCAGTCATCTTGACCTACGTCTTGCCACTGGACTATAATGATTCTGGAGAGAGAAGGAGGCTGATGACTTTGCACAGCTATGCCTCACTTCAATCCTTTTCCCTCGCAAGTCAAGACATCACCCTCCTGATGTCTTGGGCGCTCTTCAAGATAGTTCTTTGTACCATTAGCTGCTCAGTAAAACTTATTGAATGAATAATGCAAGGGCATTCATTAGTGAAAGAGATCTCACTGGAGTGGAGAACTTAGAAAAAAAAAGTTGAAGCTCATTGGTACAGGCAGAAGAACAGAGTGGTGAGAACCTAAGATGAGTGTTCCAGATCTCACTGGAGTGGAGAACTTAGAAAAAAAAAAGTTGAAGCTCATTGGTACAGGCAGAAGAACAGAGTGGTGAGAACCTAAGATGAGTGTTCCAGATCTCACTGGAGTGGAGAACTTAGAAAAAAAAAGTTGAAGTTCATTGTTACAGGCAGAAGAACAGAGTGGTGAGAACCTAAGATGAGTGTTTCAGATCTTACTGGAGTGGAGAACTTAGAAAAAAAAAGTTGAAGCTCATTGGTACAGGCAGAAGAACAGAGTGGTGAGAACCTAAGATGAGTGTTCCTAGACGTTGATACCCAGGGATATTTGAACTATCTTACCCACCAAAGCAGACATTTTCAAATATGTTAATGCTTAGATATAGCTCTTATATAAGGTTTTATGATCAACAATAAAGAGGTGGAAACCTATCTATACAAAAGTATTCATAGCAGTTATGTTTGTAACATCAAAAAGGAAATAATTCATTTGTTTGATGGTGAGGAATGGCTGAACATGATATGGTATATTGGTGTAAAGAAATATTATTGGGCCATAGAAAATAACAAAAATTAAAAAAAAAAACTATAGAGATATGAAGAAACATACAAAGTGATATGGAAGCCAAAAAAGCTAATATGGAATTGAGCTACATGAAGAGAGGAATAACTTTCAGGAAGAAGGAGATAATGGTACTGTCCAGACCATATCTGGACTTGTCGGTCCAGTTCCGGGCAACTCATTTAGGAATAAAATTGAAGAGCTGGTGTCTGGAGAAGGGCAATCCACATGGTGAAGGGCATCGAGTCTATGCCTTCTGAGATTCGGTTGAAGAAAATGGAGACATTTTGACTAGAGAAGAGTTGGGGGCCAGGAGAGAGAGAGAGAGCAGATAGTTTGTCTTAATTGTTTGAAGGGTTGTCTCTTGGGAGAGTAATTCAACTTGCTCTTTTTGTCCACAAAGAGCAAAATCAGAAGTAATGGTTGTCTATACAAAGGCAAATTTCATCTTGAATTAAGGAAAACAAAACAAATAGCAACTCCCTAAAACTTCCTAACAATGTGAGTAATCTCAAAATGGAATAGGCTTTCTTAGGTGGTATTAAGTTCCTTCTCAGTGTTGGTCTTCAAGCAAATGGCCATCTTTCAAGTTGCTGTTGCTGTTCCACCTTCAAGAGAATGACATCAGGAGGAGAATGTCACGACTTGCAAGTGAGTTGGGTTTGAGGCAGAGCTGTGCAAAATCATCAAACTCACTTCCTCCTCCAAAGTCACTGGAGTCCAACGGCAAGACATGGGCCAGGTCTACTCAGGTGTCCCCAAATACAGGGGGAGGTGGTAGTCTTTTTAAGGTAAGGTCTCTTTCCCAGGTCCCAGTTTGTCTGATCTGATACCCATTCGGTAGTTAAAGGCTAGGTTAAGAATTGAGGCAAAAGATGGCCTAGTTTGCCTTCATAAAATAATCACTCTGGGAGGGGAAGACCAGTAGAGTTTCTAGTCAAAACAGAAACAATTGCTATTTACACTCACTCAGAGCCATCAAAACCCAAATAATGAGCAAATGAGGCTTGGGCTGGGACCTTTTTGGCCAATGACTGAGAGCCAGAATGATTTGAATTTAAAGGCATAGTCAAGTATTTGAATCCCAATGGGCTTTATCAAATCCTTGTTTTCCAGAGCTATATTTCAAGAAATCATAAATGAAAACTACATGAGACAAAAGAGTTAATTGTCCTAGTTTTTCCAAAAAATAAAATGACAGAATAAATAAGTAGGGAAGGAAAAAAATTATCCCCCAAACTCTAAGATACCTAGTAAAGTGATTAAAATTTATATTTCTTTGGACAGAGCACCCACATGTGAGGGTATGACTGCCCATGTGGACAGAGAGAGAAGAGAAGGAGGAGGAGAAAGAGGAGGAGGAGAAAGAGGAGAACATAGTAGCATTGCCCAATTGGAGCTGGCTGGTTGGGTTCCCAGTGGGGCAGCTTCTGCTACTCACAGATAGTTGTTTGTCCTTCATTCCTGAAAATCAGTGACATCAGGAGGGTAATGTCTTGAAAAAAAGTCAAGACCTCTCAAGTACACTGTAGATGAAAAGGGTATGTGTGGGGGCTGGGGTGTGTGTAGATTATGCATATGTTTACATGGGTTATCTAACTACAGCTCATGGGGAGGCATGCATAGGCATCTTTGGAATCTTGCCTACCTCTCTCTAGGGAATACTCCCCTCCAGGAGAGGTGTTGGAGAAGGGCCATTCTGTTCTGTACTAGGCTACAATTATCTCTATCTGCCATGTTTAGGGACTTGAAGACATCTCCCAAGCCTAAATATGAAGAATCGATTCCCTTCCCACCAAGTGCTAGTTGTATGAAAGATCATCATGAATAGTGAATATCAAACAACCACCAAAAACAACATGAACAACAAAACCCCTCCAGGCAGATATCTAATAGAAATCCGAGAAGTTAAGCAGATTAGAATACACCAGACAATAACAGAGGGAATGAGCTTGCCTACTGGGAGTGAGTCTCTCATTTCACCCAAGGAGAAACTTGCCAAAGGCTGTAGGGAGGCAAGCTGGAAATCTGGAACTTATTGGGGGACCAATTTTCCCCTCCACATCTACCTTCCAAAAGGCTGTTCTCTTTCTTGTTTCTGCCAGAAGAGGTCTGAAAGACTCACCATTGGTCTAGAGGGAAGGAAGATCTCTCTTCTCCAAAGCTCTCATAAACTCCGCCAGTTCTTTTCCTTCACCACGATGGCAGCATTGACTCATCTTCCTCTAGACCAATGGGAAGAGTCTTATGCAAATGACCCAGGCTTAAATCCTGGTTTCATGAAGTTTTGTTTTGTTTTTGTTTTTGGTGGGGGAAGATAGGTGGGTTGAACTAGATGGCTGCTAAAGTTACTTGCAACTTTGAAATTCTAACATTTACAGGGCAAAAAACACTACTTGAAGCTTACATGTCTGCATAGAGACTGTAACTAGATAAAAAGTGAACAGAAATGACATTTTTTTTTAATCCCCAAAGAAAAAGAAACAGGAAGGTATCACAGAAATAAACAGCACTTTAAAATATCTTACTAAAATTAATGTGAATTTTTAAAAAGGAAACTGAAAACCTGGAGACTAGTTTTATATATAATCATTTAAAATCTATTAACATGTCTAGCTTTGTTGATGGTAATTAAATTTTGATTTTAAAAAAAAGTTGTTTTTTTTAAATAGCAGTACCAGGTAAGTGAACCATCTACTAGAAATAAATCCCTGAATAGTTAGGTTGTGATTAATGCAATTTTGTATAATGTGAAATTCCACTTGGTGCAAATTATGAAATGATACCATATCATACAATGCAGGCCAAAATTCAATTAATGTGATGTATGCAAGCTAGCTGAGGTTTGTAACATGCTGCCATTGTGGATGTGATATGCTGCTGCATACCATTATAAAGTTGTGTTAATTTTTTTTAAAGAGCCTTAATAAAATGGACAAAAGGAAGAATACTTCAGATGGTAACACTGACAGAACAAAAAAAAAGGAGGCGTGTCATGACATTAGGGCAAGGACTGTGTTTTGGTCCCTTTTTGTATCCCCAGGGCTTAGCACAGTGCCTAGAACATAGTAGACACTTAATAAATGTTTATTGAGTGATTTATTACACTAAAACAAAAATTCAATGTAATTAAATGGCATGAATTTGGTCATAGTAACTCTACAATAGGACGAGATGTCAGAATGCCTAATTTATACAGTATAGAATACAACACAGGTGAAATAAAAGAAAAAGGAAAAACTAAATCAGATTTTTTTGGTTTGTTTGAGATTTGTAAACAATTATAAGTAATAGAAATCTTTTAATTATAAAAATGAGGGACTTTCAGATACTGGGATTGAAGATTGCAAAAAAAAATGCTTTGGTCTTAGCAGAGTAGCTATTCAGACAGAAGTTTCAAGTTTATTTATAATAGTGAAAGAAAATGGAAATGAAGTGGATACTGAAGAAACTTTTACAAGTGTTGGTTGGTTCTATCACTTTAAAAATAAACTTCAGTTACATAGTATTAAAATTACGGGAAAGGCAGCCAGAGAAAAAGAGGAAGGGATATCCTGGTGTTTTATAGAAAATAAATGAAGAAGGTGAATAATTAATCAAAAATTTTTTAATGTGGATGAAACAAGCTTATTCTATGAAAAGATCTTCTAGAACTTACATTTCTAAAAAAAAAAGAGAGAAAGAGACAACTAGGGGATGCAGTGGATAGAGTGCTGGGCCTGGAGTCAGGAGGACCTGAATTCAAAACCAGCCTCAGATACTTACTATCTCTGTGACCCTGAGCAAGTCACTTATCCCTGTTTGCTTCAGTTTCCTCATCTATAAAAAAAAAAAAGGGCTGAAGAAGGAAATGGTAGTATCCAGTATCTTTGCCAAGAAAACCCCAAATGTGGTCATGAAGAGTCAGACACAATTGAACAATAGCGAAAGAAAGAAAAAATTCCACGTGTGTCTAAAGTTCACCTAACCCTTTTGTTGGAGGCACTAAAGGAGACTTTAAATTAAAGCTAATGTTCTGTTAACAGTCTGGAAATCACACTCTGAGAGGCTACAACCATGGATTGCCTCCAGTTCTTAGGTAGTCACAGAAGAAAGCATGGGTAATGAAAGCTATTTTCAAAAACCAATCTTCAAGTTATTTTAACCCACTTGCTGAAAAATATTACAAAAACAACAATATTACATTGGAAGCATTATTGATTTTAAATAATGCACCAGGACATCCAACCACATTTGGTTTATTTCTTGAGAATGTGAACAGGCAAATTCACTGAGATACAGATAAAGTTACCGACACTATCCTGCTCAAATGTTTTAAAAGACAATAACATTTTAATCACATTATCAGTGTAGGATTATCTTTAGGTACAATATGCAATGATTTTTTTCATTTTTAAAATTTACTTTCTATAACTACTTTGTAATAAGCTTAAAGTATATTTTCTTACCCTTTGCTATTATATTAGGTTAATAAAAAGATAAAATATTTCAAAATGTTATTGCATGCTCCCATTGGGCTGGAACCAGTTAACATAATTCATATAGAAATAACTTCTAAACAGTGAAAATTCAAACAGTGTAACCACTTCGCAGGATTCGTTGTTCATTCACATTAATCTGGACCTGTTAGTACGCTGACAGCAGGAAATCTATTCGTGACAGTCTCTCTCCATTTGGATGACTTCACATGGAGGTCCAGGGACACTCAGACAATGAATAAAACCTAGCACTGAGCAGCTCTGCCCCTATTGGATTCCTGGCAACTGAGACTGGCCAGGTAAAGAGAAGCAGATGCCCACCCCCCCTTCCCCTGCCCGAAATGTGCCCAGCAAATGTTGGTTTGGCAGGCAGCCTGATAAGATTCCAGATCAACCCCAATTTAATTGAGAAGCTAACTGTACCTCAAATTCATCTCCTCATTAAACAGGCATGACAAGTTACCCAGATCCTTTATTCGAGTTATAGTCTACCTGGGGACCTACACATGACTGCTGCCGATGGAGCATTTGTTTATCAGATTAAAAGTGAATGCACGCTGGGGCTGATGCATTAGAAATCTTAGAGCATTAAAAGTGGAAAAAGAGAGTTATTTACGTGAAACAATCCTCTCATTCCCGTGCCCTTAACGAGAAAGAAGATGCTGAAATTCTTATTATCCCTTTTTCTTTAAAGGAGGAAGCATTTAAAAACTACTCATTAGAAGTAAGAAAGTTCTGACCCCCTAAAAGGCTGTCAGTACTGTCTCCATGCTTAGTAGCTCAGTTCTGTATGACCCTTAGCCAAAAAAAAAAAAACACGTCAGGAAATCAAGAGATTATCTGAACTGAACCTAACTGTGGTGACCCTAGTGTACAGGGCTGAAGAAACTTTCACATCTGATTCTTGGACCTTCAGTCTTGAAAGTTTATTATATAGCCTTTAGACTACCCAGTCATACCACAAGTGGGCCCTGATTCACAGCAGTGAGGTGGTACAGTGGGTAGAGCATTGGGCACAGTATCAGGCAGACATCCTTAGGAATTTACCTCTGGCCTCAATACTTCTTAGCTATGTGACCCTATGAGGTAGGGTCTATTATTATCCTTATTTTGCAGATGAAGCAGGGGTCAAATGATCTGCCTAGGATACAGCCAGTGTCTAAGGCAGGATTTGAACTCATATCTTCCTTATTCTAAGCCCAACACTCTATTTACTGTACACCTAATTGCCTCCCTAGTATCACAGTGCTTTCCTGTAAGTGTCATCCCTCGTTACAAAATCATCAAATCACAAAATGTAAGTCAGAAGAAACCTCAGTGGGCAATCAATATGCCTGAACCAGAATCCTCTCAATAGCATCGCTAACAAGTGCTCATCCAGGCATTGCTGGAAAATGGGCAGTGATGGGCAACCCTTTCCTCCTTGAAGTAATCCTTCCACTCTGGGGCAGCAATTAGCCCAGTGCCTGGCACATAGAAGGTGGTTAAGAAACGATGTTTATTGATATAGTAAATAGTATTATATCTCCTTTTTAGTGCTTATTGAATTACTGACTCAGAAGTTTTGCAGCAAACTGAAATCTCTATCTCTGGACCATCTACCCGCTGCTTCTTGTTCTTTTTCTGGGGCTATAAAGAATAAGTTTTATTATTCTTCCACTTGACAGCCTTTCAAAAATGTGAAGGCGACTTTCATTTTCCCAGTAAATCTCCTCTTTTCTAAATCAAAGATCATTGTTTCCTTCAACTTAACCTCTTATGCCACATGAATCCTAGAGATCATCTATCTAGTTCACCCTTCTCATTTGACAGATAAGGAAACTGAGGTCCTGTGACTTCCTAAGATTGCATTGCAAGTGGCAAAATGAAGATTTGAACCTGGGGCCTCTGACTGAAAATCAGCACACTTTCTACTATACCATAATACTCCTCTGCAGTCATCTCATCATCCTTACTCTCCTCTTAACATGCCGCAGCATTGTCAGTGGTATTCCTTCACATAAGTACTCACACTTGAATACAGTACCCAGTTGTGCTATGAGCAGGTCAGAGTATTTCATCAGGTAACTTAATAGAACCCCATCATTTAGCCTAAATTTGAAGGACCTTTCTTCGTTGTCCTCTCACATTGTTGACTTGGATTGAGTATACAGTCTACTAAAAACTCAACACTTTTCATGTGAACTATACATATCTTTCCCACACTGTTTTGCAATAGTTTTTTTTAAAAAACTATATGTAGAACATTATGCTTTTCTCTACTATATGCAAGCTTTAATAGATTCAACTGATTACTCTAACCTGTTAAGACTTTTTGAGAGCCTAAGTTCTAACCATCAATCTGTGTCATCTGTCCCCAGAGTTGTGTCATCTGTGAATGCGATAAGCATGCCACCTTTGCCCTCAGCCAGGTCATTTACAAAAATGTTGAGCAATGTAGGGTCAAGAATATAGACCTCCTTCCACATTCACATTGACCCATTAATGAATATCCTTTGGATCTAGTCATTCAATATAACTCTAGTATTTACCCAATTTTACTCTCATCTAGTCCATTTTTCTCTGTTTTGTCCTACAATAATAGCATGAGAGGCTGTATCAAATGATTTGTTTGAAATTTTGGTAAATTGTCAATAGTTTTCTCCTTGATCTACCAGTCTGGTCACTAGCAGAAAAAGAACTGAGATTGCTTTGTTCTTCACAAGCTATAAGAGCTCTGACTAATCACTTTTTACTTTTCTAAATTTTACAAACTATTTTAGAATATATCCTAAAATTTTGGAGAAACCAGAGTCAAGGAGCTTTCTTTAAAAAAAAAATCAGGGTGTTTGCTAATTTCCAGATCATAGAAACATAGGATTTAGAGCTAGAAGGGACCTTAAAGGCCATCTACTTCACCCTTCCTTTTGATGTGTAATAGGGGTGATACATGGGATGGGACATGCACTGTGCCTCTTTGCTGACTATCATGCCCCTTGCTACAATGATGTAGCAACTTGTGATTCCTCACCGGTGATTAGAGAGTGAATTGAAAATAATTGGTTAAAGTTAGGAAGGGCCCACCAGACTCTTGGTGGTCTATCAGAGAAGGTGAGAAAAGTCAGCCAGCTCTCCCTCTTTCTTTTTTTATGGGATTCTTCCAGCACTTCCTATACTTAGGTCTTCTAGCATAGTGAGAGAGGAGATTTATTCATGATCCCCATCTCCTGCCATCCCCCCTGGAGCAATAACCGCTATAAGCACCCAGTAACAAGAACCTGTGGCTGCCTAGGTGAGCCTGAATTCTTGGCTACCTTCTTTGCCCTCTTGATTTGTTCCTTGAAGCACAAACTAGTGATTTTGAGAAGTAGGCAGAACCCTCCCTGTTGCCAACCTTGTAGATCTGAGAGGTGAAGAGTCGCTCAATCAGGGTCGGCCACATGGCAAGAGGTGTTTTCCACAACAGCACCACCTTTCACTTGGACCCACAGAAATTAAATGGCTTGCCTAAGGTCATGTTATCATTAAATCATGGCAACAGGATTTGAATTCCAGTCATTTGACTCCAAATACAAAGCTCTCTCAACGACCTCACCCCACCGCCAGGAATGAATGTTTCGGTTAAATGAGCTGAGTTGAACTTCAGTTGCATTTATGCAAAGAACAAAGATAGGGGAATGGATGGAAGGAGAGCAGTTAGGACAAGGGGATTGTAGGAGTGAAGTGTATGCAGGTGAAAGCCCCAAGATCCACTCGCTGCCTTTTGGATCCAGTCCCTAATAGTGCAGTGGGGAGAAGAGCAGGTGTCTGGATGGGTAGATAGGCTTTGTTCTTCGGTGTGTTAATAGTGTTCTGGGTTACGAGGCTCAGGGTGTGTTGGCACCAGCCCTTCCACTCACTTTGCCAGGTGAGGGATGAGACATGCTGAGCATCTGTGGTTTCCTCTCCAGCTGTTTGCTAATCCTGTTGCCTTGCTAACGCCAGGACTGTTGAGTTGGGAGGACTTCACACTTGACACACTTATTTCCTTCTTGCTGTATTTTTATAACCTGAATGTATTGCTATCAATGGATTCCATTATACCTCCTGGAGCATTTATCTTAGGATCACAGATTTGGAGCTGGAAGGGACCTTACAGTCTACCAAGTCCAATCCATTCATTTTACAGCCAATCAACTAATATTTATTAAGTATTTACTATGTGCCAGGCACTGTGCTAAGCAGTAGGGATACCAGTAAAGGCAAAAACCTGCCCCTGCTCCTAAGGACCTCACAGTCTAAGGAGGCAGGGGTGATGGTGGTGGAGACAACATGTAAATAATTATGTATACACAAAAT